GGGAACAGAGAACTACGAAGGGAACAGAGAACTACCACGTCCACGTCGTTGTTCCTGGGTAGCGCTAAGAGTAGTTCATCAATGACTTTGATGGTCCATAACTCGGACCCCAGTGGGCGGATTGTGGACCACAACCAGTGTTTCGTAAAGGGCTTGAAACCAGCTTTCTCATCCCATGGTGAAAAACTAGGGGTTCCATTTAAAAAAACCATCGTGACCCCTGAATGACCTTCAAAATGACCTTCCAAGGATTTTTCAAGGTCAGTACCATACTTCCCCCGTGTAACCCTAAACTTTTCATACGAAACATTTTTCTCTATCCCTACTAGTTTTCGAGATATTTGACTGGATCACTTCAGATGGGCCACCTGTATATATATATATATATATACATTAGTAATAATTTACTTATGTAATTTTTTTTATTTTTTATGTATTATCGTGTACCTAAATTATCCAGTAAATGATACTACAATATTGTTAGCCCATTACGTAATGAGTAATTAATATGATAAAATCTGTTGATCCTAGAATAAAGACAAGAGGAAATACACCAAAATATACTGAGGCATTTAATCTTGTGATTTGATTTAAAGATTACGTAGAAGACTTTCAAGTTTGCCACAACAATGTCGAGTTGTTTCATTTTGTTGCTCCACCTTGTGTGTTGTATTTTAATCGGTCTCGTGACAACATCGAAACCATTATCAATTTTATTAATAGAGCCTCTTCCATCGCCCAGCCATCATGTCTGGACGACGAATTTGATTAAAGGATTGCTCCGCAAAGGCCATCATGTACACGTAGTGAGCACACATGAGACTAAGATCAAAGATAAACTTGCGCAGAACTTGACGTACGATGTAAGTAAATGTTATGGGACTCGAAACATTCTGAATATAAATTGATTATTTTAAATTTGTGAAGCAAATGCGGAAGAATATAACCTTTCTGTTTTAAAATATAATTTTATATTGTACGTATCTCAAATCATTGTATTAGCTGAGCTTCTAATATATTTTCATATTTCTATATATTTTTCATCAACAGTAAAGAATTCTTATTATTTTCAGGTATTCGATGGTTTGATGAAAGTAATGGAAGAATCTGAAGGGGATTATGATCCGGTTAAATGGGAACGGTATAGCGCACTTTATATGATATATTCTGCATATCATCAATGGGGAATTCATGTATGTGACACAGTAATAAAAACTAAAGCAGCGAAAAAGCTTTTGGAAATGATCAAGACAGTCGAGTTTGATATTATATTGCAGGATATTACATTAAATGAATGTTTATACGGATTGTGGGAGGTAAAGATAAAGCAATTTCTTAAATACTAGTGCTGTCTTAATTTATTTTATCTATTTGTTACAATAGTTAGATTTAGCTATTTTCATTGTCACTCTGTGTGTCACTGTGGGTATTGTTTTTCAGATTGCTAAAGGTAAACCACCCATAGTAGGATATATTCCGTATGGCCCTGTACCTTGGCTCAAAGATTTTATCGGAGGTCCAAGTTATCCAACTGTTCGACCTTATCCATATTTACCCATTGCGAAACCCATAGGTTTGTGGCAGAGAACATGGAATACTGTATGTTTTACTGTTGATGATTTCATACGACATTATTATTTCTTGTCTATTATGCAACGGCTTGCTGAGAAATACGTAGGCCACACAATTAGACCATTACATGAAATAGAAAAAGACAGTATTAATATTGTACTACTCAATAGTCATCCTGCATTCGACCATGGGATTCCATTGCCTCCGAACACTTTAGAGATTGCAGGACTGAATGCTCAGGCCATAAAACCGATTGATGGCGAAATAGTCGTAACATATCCCGAGGTAAAAGAGATTGTATATATTATATTTATATCAAACAAAATAGTTAGTCTATATTTGCCGAGTGATCGAATGTAATTGGTTGGATTCATAAGTAAGAAGATATTATGTTTCACTCGACAAATAGGTTAACTGAAAGCTAGCTACAAGTAAACGTTTTACATCCATTTATTTTTTTTCTCAGTTTAAAACTAATAAAAATTGCAAAAAATATATATTAGCAAAAAATTATATATATTGAAGAAATTTAATGAGATGGTCTCATCGAATTATTATTTATATTATTTGCTTTCGAATTTTTAGAACGATTCTCACGTAAATATACGAAGTTACATATAATGTACTTGGTAATTTCTCACTCAATATTATAACTGTAACAAAACACATTATATTTATTATCTAAATATTAGTTAACTATTATTTCGCAGGATATGCGCGAATTCCTTGATGGAGCAAAAAATGGAGTCATCATAATATCGTTAGGAACAAACGTGAAATGGAAGTCTATCGGATTAGACAAAGTTAAGGCTGTTTTATTGGCTCTGTCGAAATTAAAACAACGAGTATTATGGAAGCTAGATATTGAAGTGCCATTTGAAATACCGGATAATCTGATGATTGTAAAATGGATGCCGCAACGCGAAGTTTTATGTACGTTTTCTAATTCTTAGAAAAATATAAAAAAAACGTAATAACCGATATATATTTTCTCCATGATTCGACATTTTTTCATACTTTCTTTTATTAACGTGTGAATTTTTTAAAATTAAGTTTATAATTTAATCTGTCTTTATTCGCAATTAAAATGTCTATGAAATTATAAATATTTTTTTTGTAATATTATTTACGAAAATAACATTGACTGGAATATAATTTATATAATTGAGAAAATCATTTATTTTTATATACTACCAATGCGAATTGTTATTTCAATAATCATTTTAGTGTTTCAATAAAGTTTCGCAGTACACTTAACAAAAATATCGTATATAACGTGTATATAAATATTTTAGTTTTAAATGGTTCTTGAATAATTAGTTGTAGTAAAATTTTATTTTAATAATAAATATGGTATAACCGAGTAAGTGAGAATGGATTAAAATGGATTGAAATTTTAATCTATTTGTATCTATTCGAATGCGTACTTTAGTAGCATATAGTCCATTTTTCTATTTATTTGGATATGATTGAATTGAAAAACTGCATTTCCTACTTAGAATTTCGAATTGAAAAATATTCTCACAATACGTACAAAAAAGCTTATGTTATTTTTAAATTAAAAGACATAGAAATGTGCTTTATTCAGGGGTGATCCCGATTGACCACGGCTCGATTGGACACCACCAATCACAGCGACTGGTGCTTAGAAGCTTTGGGGGGGGATCCCGTTTGCCTACAAATCAATTGCCTACAGTACCTTTTGCCTACATCACTTTTGCCTACAGTTCGATTGCCTACATGCGCTTTTGCGCACAAATAAAAATTTTAGAAACGGGGTTACTTTTGCCTACATGTACATACTATTACCTACAGCTCGATTGCCTACAGCTCGATTGCCTACATGCGCTTTGGCACACAAATAAAGATTTTAGAAACGGAGTTACTTTTGCCTACATGTACTATTGCCTACAGCTCGATTGCCTGCAGCTCGATTGCCTACAGCTCGATTGCCTACATGCGCTTTTGCGCACAAATAAAAATTTTAGAAACGGGGTTACTTTTGCCTACATATACTATTGCCTACAGTTCGATTGCCTACATGCGCTTTTGCGCACAAATAAAAATTTTAGAAGCGGGGTTACTTTGGCTACATGTACTATTGCCTACATGTACTATTGCCTACAGTTCGATTGCCTACAGCTCGATTGCCTACATGCGCTTTTGCACACAAATAAAAATTTTAGAAACGGAGTTACTTTTGCCTACATGTACATACTATTACCTACAGCTCGATTGCCTACAGCTCAATTGCCTACAGCTCGATTGCCTACAGCTCGATTGCCTACATGCGCTTTTGCACACAAATAAAAATTTTAGAAACGGAGTTACTTTTGCCTACATGTACTATTGCCTACAGCACGATTGCCTACAGCTCGATTGCCTACAGCTCGATTGCCTACATGCTCTTTTGCGCACAAATAAAAATTTTAGAAACGGAGTTACTTTTTCCTACATGTACATACTATTGCCTACAGCTCGATTGCCTACAGCTCGATTGCCTACAGCTCGATTGCCTACAGTTCGATTGTCTACATGCGCTTTTGCACACAAATAAAAATTTTAGAAACGGAGTTACCTTTGCCTATATGTACTATTGTCTACAGCTCGATTGCCTACAGCTCGATTGCCTACATGCGCTTTTGCACACAAATAAAAATTTTAGAAACGGAGTTACTTTTGCTTACACAGGCCCGGATTAAGGGGAGGGCTAGGGGGGGCTGTAGCCCCAGGCCCCACGGAAATAGGGGCCCCCGTTACATTAACGAAAAAATTTTAACTTTTTGATTAAAATTAAAACCAAAATCATTCGAAATTATTTTTAATCTTAAAAAAAATTAGTTTTTATTCTCTTAATATATAGTAATAGTAGATGCCGTCCCATACTTTGTAGAAAGTTTTTTCAAAATATCTATTTGATCACTTATCGCTACTTAACTTCAGCGATCGACTGAGATGCTACACCTCCACCATGCACCATGCCAAGACATTGACATGAACACCGACGAGATACTGTTAAAGACCGACAACCCTGGGTAAATTTTCGGCGGAATAAAAAGGGCCCCGAAGGCCCGGATGTAACTGAAGAACGCTGACATTACCGACAATTGATATAAATTTGATGGTATTAACATAAATATTTGACTCATATATTATTAAATTCATGATTTTTTATTATATACAAAAATTTTAACTAAAAAAAACTAAAATAAGTATTAATTTATTTACTTGTCCCTAACCTTTATATGATTCAATTTTAATATTTATTGCTTTAGATTAAATAACCTAATTATACTGCTTTACATACAGACGTGATCTTTTTTTTTATTTTAGATTGAAAAGAAAGGGGCCCCCTAAAGTTAAATAGCCCCGGGCCCCTCAACTCTTTAATCCCGGCCTGTGCCTACATGTACTATTGCCTACAGCTCGATTGCCTACAGCTCGATTGCCTACATGCGCTTTTGTACACAAATAAAAATTTTAGAAACGGAGTTACTTTTGCCTACATGTACTATTGCCTACATGTACTATTGCCTACATGTACTATTGCCTACAGTTCGATTGCCTACAGCTCGATTGCCTACATGCGCTTTTGCACACAAATAAAAATTTTAGAAACGAAGTTACTTTTGCCTACATGTACTATTGCCTTCAGCTCGATTGCCTACAGCTCGATTGCCTATATGCTCTTTTGCGCACAAATAAAAATTTTAGAAACGGAGTTACTTTTGCCTACATGTACTATTGCCTACATGTATTATTGCCTACAAGCACTTTTGCGTACACAAAATTTTCATAGACGAAATATCATATTTGTTTACATGTATTACCTACAGATCGATTGCCTATATACATTATTGCCTACAGCTCGATTGTCTACATGCATTATTGCCTAATACAGCTCGATTGCCTACATGTACTATTCTCTGCTTTAAAAA